TATAATTGTTGTAGGGTCTCTATAAGATATACAACTGATAGTGTCAAAATCCCAAATAAACAATAGTTTTGTCATTTCAATGCACTAAAAACACAAACAAAACAAAAAAGACACTACAAAACACTTGTTTTTGTTGACAGTAGCACCCACACATCATCAGAAAGTCCAGTTAGATCAGCTTGTCCTTGTGCTGGCCATGTGCCAGTCCCCCTTCTCTCCTGTGTACATGTTTGTCCCAGGAAATGAAATTAAGTTCAAATGAGTGTTTTGCTTCCTTTGAAAAAATATTGTTCCAGTCCTTGTACACAAACTAACCCTTAGCAAAAAGTAGTTTATTTAAGTATACTACAAGTATACTTATTTTACACTAAAAATGAGAAAGTCTACTTGAAGTTTACTTTTTATAAACTTTATTTGATATACTTAAAAATAGTATAAAAATCCCAATTTAGTCCAAACAAGTATTAAATCAGTATACTTCTAGTACAATACAAGTATGGTGTGTAGTATACTTGATATACTTAACTTAAAGTATACTTGCAAAAATAAACTTCAATGTACTACTTAGCTGAATAAAATGTGTATTTATTTTAATACATCTCTTTTTTTGTTGTTGTCATTTTATAGTAGGATAGAAATTTGTGTTTAGTTTGAAATGAAACAATTCCTGAAGTAGATTTCTGGTGAGACTGAAGAGTCTGTAACTTGTTGCTCTCCTGTTTCTCTCTGTGCATGTTCTCTCTCAGAGATGGATTAATTAGTAAGGATGAGATGATCGCATATTTCCTTCGGGCTAATCCTCTTCTCCAGTGTAAGATGGGACCAGGATTCATCCACAACTTCCAAGAGATGAACTACCTGAAGCCCACATTCTGTGAACACTGTGCTGGATTTGTGTGTACCTCTTCAGTCCTGGCTGCATGTTTCATATATTTGCATTGCCTAAAGTTTTTGTTATATCACATTCTGCTCTTGTTGCATGTGTGCAGCTCTGGGGGATCATCAAGCAGGGATACAAGTGCAAAGGTAGAGTTCGGTTTCTTCTCGGACTTGCTTAGATGCATCACAAAATACTCTAACTTTATTTTGTCCTTCTGCATCTTTGGTTTTCTTTTACTTCAACGGCTGCAGGACTGCATGCTCCTGTACAAGACAAACATTAGGGTTCTGTTGTGATGCTTGAACACTGTTTGTGCTCTAAGCTAATGGGTCTTTATTTACCGTGCAGACTGTGGTGTTAACTGTCATAAACAATGCCGGGAACTACTAGTTCTGGCCTGCAGGAAGCTGATTCGCTCAAGCTCTCTAAGCAGTGATTCTCCTGCCCGACTGGCCCACAGCTCACTGCCCAGCAGCCCTACACTGCCTGCCTGTAAAGGTCAGCGTCCGTTACTAAAGATGTAAACATCACAAACAGCATACCGAGAAAAGTCATTTACATACTCACAGCAACAATGCCTTCCAGACTAAACCAGTCTGCCAAAATAAAGTAATTATCCTAAACTGTCCATGTGAGACAGTCAAGAGTACTTAATGTTGTGCAATTTCAGAATGTGCATGCATTTGAAAACACAAAGTACAAAACACACTTTAAAAACACCTTTTTATACAAGTAACTCCACGGGTTTTATTCTCAAAATAACCCCGTTTTAAGCTGGTGAAGATTCTCGCTCATCCAGGTCATGATCAAGCCCTACCAAATAATAAATTAATTAAATAAAAAGTTTAACAAAAACTGGACTTTTATTCTGAAGCTGGAGCTGTTTTGCTTTTCCCAGATGGGAGGCGAAACATCTTCAGCTTCAGAATAGAAATCCAGTTGTTTGCTTTTTAACCTTTGTATTATTGGATCAACCCTGTTTTAAGTGAGCAAATTTGATAAAATACAGTTTTAACCAATTCTAACCAATACAGCAGCATGCACAGTATTGTAAATATGTAAATAAGTTATATGTTGTACGTAAGTAAGTAAAATTATCAGTAATTAACAGATAAAATTATCAGTAATAAGTAAAATGATCATTTATTAGGATAGAATACCAAGAACAAGTTTGTCTTTGAAACAAGATTAATATAAATGTAATAAAATTAAGCTAAGTTTTGTTGTAGGTTAAGCCAAGGTGACGGGGGGAGTAGAAGAATGCATTTTGTTCTTCTCTATGTCTGATTGTGTTAAAACTAATGAAGGACTGTGGGTGACGGCTTTATTCACCTCACATACAGTATACAATGATAAATGAAATGAAAGAAGACTGAGGACATATTTAATGTGTGTGTGGACATCGATGGCGGTCCTTTTCTTTGTTTACTCTAAAACTGTAGAAAAGTAAAACAAATATATAAACCCTAAAATTTTAAAATATATTTTACCCGTTGCTGCCTTGAAATCAGCTTGCTGCTTCCAGTTAGCTGCAGTTATGGTCTTATTATTTTACAAGTACTAACCGATGAATTTGTCTTTTGTTCCTCCTTCAGATGAGGATGGCGTGTTTGAGTTCCCAGCTGTTCCTTCAGCAGGTCCAACTCTGGACACTCAGTCCATCACCTTAATGACAGGATCAGCCCAGAGGATCTCAGTGCGTCTGCAGAGGGCCACCACCAGCCAGGCTACGCAGACCGAGCCCCTCTGGCCTGAACTGAGCTGGGGGGTCACAGATAGCGGCTCCCACACCTTCCCCAAAATGAAATACAGGACTCACAGGAAAATGTCTAAAAATAAAGGTTTTGCCTGTTGGGAAAACCAGAATGGTGGGCGGCAGCAGGTTTCCTCCAGGTGCAGCGTGGACTATCAGCAGAACAAGCGCGACTTCAGTGAAGAGCCTGCACACAACGGGGTGACAAATGTAAGAAAAGCAATTGCTGCTGGCTGAAACTACAAAGTGACATTTTAACTTCATGGCTCATCTTCAGCCCTCACACTGAGGCAGCATGTAGGGAAAATGAATTGAAATTAATTAGGGTGGATTACATCCTGTTACGACCCGGCTCAGCCAAGAAAAGGGGACATAACACCAAACCCAGAAGGAAATAGGTTTTGAAAATGGAAAGTGATGTATTATCAAGTCAGTTAAGATTTAACAAACAAAACTGAACAAAAAGAGGGTAATTTGAAAAGTACTGAGCATGCATCAGGATATTGAAAAGTATTAATTACCATCAAGCAAATTTAACATTTAACTAAAGTTATTTACCATCAAAGTTAAAGTCAAACAACTACTGGTATATTAAATTGTATTTTACAAACAACTCTGTAAACAAAATTACACAAAACTAAGTAATAAACTAAAGAAAGAAGAAAATTTAATGTCACAACCTTTTTAACAAAAATTATCAAAACACAAAGTTTTAGCCTTGAACCGAAGTCTCGAGTTCGACTTCCGAGCCTGCCTTTAGAAACTTACACGTCTAACAATGGACACACAAAGACAGACCTGAAAATCAAACTCCTGGCCACTCATTTTCAGCTGGACCTGGCAGAATCAAACTAAGCCAAGGCCAAACATTTTACCATGTAGCGAGCTGCTCAGAATAAATCATTCATTCAACTTTTATTTAGACAGTTTCATCCCATTGATCCTCGAGGACTCATTTACAAGAGAGACCTGATTTCAACAAAGAATGATGACAACAATGGACAACAAAGACAATAATAGACAATCATAAAGGATGAGTACAGATTGAGTTTTTTTTTTTAACAAGTGAAAATAAAATTGTATTTAAAAGGAAAAGTAACCAAAAAAAAACAAAAAAAAAACAGCTAGGTTGTAGGGCGGTGGAGAAAACTAAAAACAAGAACATGTCTGCATTGGTTTATCATAGCTGCCCTGATTAGCCGGAGAGCTGGGCTTAAATAAACCAGCTACTTCCTTGGTTGGAGCAGCAGGAGATGAAGAATCCAACCAGGATGATGAGGGGTGTCCACTGGGAGGAGTCAGGAGAGCCCATCCAATCTGAGATGTTGCTGCACAGCTGGGCTGCAGCAAATCTCTAACCTGCAACTGCACAGAGTCACTCAAAACAAATGTGCTCAGGCCATAACACTGTCACATCTTGTCAGATCCTACCATTGGCAGGGCATATCGTTGGAGCAAGCTGTGGGCCCAGACATAGGTGCCTGCTCAGTGGAGCAAATGGAGCAGGTGCTCCCCCATTTTCCAATGTGTGGGTGAAGGCTTGTTTTGGCTCCCCCATGTTTTGACTAAAAAACATGTCATCAGTTCCAACAATAAAACCCGTATGTGTGGTTTTATTGATTCTAGTTTGACTGTCTTAGTTACAGACTGCTACATTTTACACCCCTCTCTCAGCTTTGAATTAGTTCAGTCCAACTCAGCTGAACATTAGTATCTTGCTAGTCAGACAGCTGTGGATATGAAAAATGAAGCAAAGATAATTGTTTAAGTACAGTTTTTAAGTAACTGTGCTACATCTTTTTGTAGCTTTGAATCAGATAAAATAAAAAACAAATAAATAGTATAAATAAATATAGAATAAATAGTGTTAACGGGCAGCACGGTGGCGCAACTGGTAGAGCTGCTGCCTCTCAGCGAGCAGGTCCATGGGTCAAACCCCAGTCCAGGAGCTTTTCTGGGTGGAGCTTGCATGTTCTCTCCGTGCATGCGTGGGTTTTCTCCGGGTTCTCCAGTTTCCTTCCACAGACCAAAAACATGCATGTTAGACTCATTGGTAACTCTAAATTGTCCCTAGGTGAGAGTGAATGGTTGTTTGTCTCGTTTGTCTCTATGTGTCCCTGTGATGGACCTGCAACCCATCCAGGGTGTACCCCGCCCCTCGCACAATGATTGCTGGTCATGGGCACCGTCAAACCCCTTGACCCAAAATGGAATAAGCGGGTAAAAGATAATGGATGGATGGATGGATGGATGGATAGTGTTAACTTACTTTTAATATATATGAATGTTTCTGTTCAGTGCCATGAGACGACTTCTGTTGTGACTTGCTATAAATAAAATGAATTGAATTGAAACATTCAATGATATCACACTATAAAGTAGTGCAAGATTAGTTTATTAGAATTAGAATATAAATCCATTTATTTTGATCTTGTTGACTAACTTAAAAAACACAAACCTAAACACCACTCATGTTTTAACTTTGAGCGATCCAGAGGTGTTTTAGTGGCACCCAGTGGTTTATACCGGTACTGCACATTTAAACCCCTTTACCTTTCGGCCATACGTGAAATGCACGTGACCACCAGTCTAAATGTGAATGTCAACATTTCAGACATAAAGGTGAAAATTTACCCTTTTTTTTCTCCCCTCAAGGACAGCTGACTTGGCCACAGCGATAAGGACTGGAGCCACAGGGCCAGGACTAGGACCAGGGGGCCCTTCACCAAGGGGACTAGGAGGCTCTTCTCACTGAGGAAGACTCTGGGATGCTTGAGGTTCCCCTTCAGGAGCCAAATTATTTCAACCTCCAGAGCATGAGAACGTAGCTGTGATCTGCTTTTAAACCACACTGATGACTTTTCCATCCAAAGGATGGATCACTGTAGAGAGCTGTGTCTTAGGCTTCTGTTTACACTTGGATGTACATTACATGAGCTTTTAGAAAAGAAAAGACAAGTCAGCTGAAAATTTCACAGAAATGTGTAATGGGTTTGGATCAGTGTAGCAGATATTCATTTTGCAATGTCCCATGGATGAAGATGTAAACAGAGATAAACTTCTGCTGCAAGATGGAAGCTTTGTGGTCAGCTGTTCTAAAAAAGCCAGATGGATGTTGGAATAAATGTAAATAGTTTAACAATATTTGTAAATTAAGCTGCAAATAAAGGGAAAGATAATCTGAAAATGAACGTGTTGTAAATTACACAGAATGTGAGATTGATGATTTGAAAATAATTAATATTTTGTTACATTTTTCTTGTTTTTTTGTTTTTCTCCTATGGGTTGCTCCCTTTAAGGGTTGCAACGGCAAATCATCTGCCTCTGTGTCTCACAATCATAGCATCGTCCTCTGTCACACCAACCTTTTGCATATCCTGTTGCTGCCATACTGCTTCCTACTGTACATCCATGAATCTTATATGTACTGTAGTTGTCTTCTTTCCTTCTCCCTGGCAAATCCAAAACAATACCTTTTGTCAAAAACAACAAAGTCCATGCTCAATAATCCAGGTATACAATTCAACAATTTTCAGTCAGGTCATCTGGACAGTTTCTTTTTTTGCTTAAACGTTTCACCTTCCATCCAGAAGGCTTCATCAGTCAAGGAAACACACAACACAAAACTGATTCTTCCCTGTCGAGGAAAATTAACACAACAACTTGGACTTTTCAGCCTATTCACCTGTTCCTCTCATTGGTTCAGAAATACATGGAGAAAAGACAAAATAATCAGTCAGAGAGATTCAAGTATTACCAACATTTATTAAAGCTTTCAGCTGAAAGGAGATGCTCTTACCCCAAACCAACAGAGACACAGCAAAAACCCAAGACACGTCTGACTGGAGCTTCAGCATCTCTGGTATTTAAACACAAAAGCTCCACCCAGACATGTGTCACACATTTCTACAGTTCTTTGTATAAACTAGTTCAAACTGATGTCTTCATTTCCTGGAAGTCCTTTTATGGAGTTGTTTTATTATTTTCTTCTGCCGTTCCAGTTTACTGGTGACCTTGTCATCAGGTGGGACACACACACCAGCAGCTCCCTGTTAGTTCATGTCCCGTACACAACAAACTTAAATACATTCTCTGACTTAGTTCACTCTTGTAGTGATGTAGGCAGGGGCGATTCTAGGATTTGACCTTTAGGGGTGCTTAGCCCCCAGTGCTGAAAATGGCTCTTTGCTTGAATGACACGGCGATCATATAAGTTCAATAGTAAACAGTTATTTCAATGGATCAGATGATTGTTTCTTAAACTTCTGTTTTGTTTCTGAACCATCACAGAAAACAAAGGCAAAAGGTCTATAAACTGAGAAGACAAGAAAAAATAAGACAGAACTTTATTGTTCCCACAGGAAGTTGTTGAAGGGCTTAATCATAATGATTAGAACTGTCCAAAATAAGTGAAAAATAAATTAATATTGCATGACAAATCTAACATTGTATCACTTTTTGGGTTTTAATTCTCTGATAAAGAGTGGTGATGGTAAAGTGGTAAGGAAGCACTTCACCCTATGATAAATTGTATTTTTGCTCTTAGTTTCTCCAGAGGGAGCAGTTGTAGTGGGCTCACTGTACATCACCCTGGATAAGAGTACAGCAAAAGCAAAAGTCTAATGCAATAATTGCTCTGAAGTAGGTTGGGGAAGATTAAACAATTTTATAACCTGAAAAATAATACATCTAAGTAAAAGTACTGTAGTGGTATTTTACCATGAATCCAGGTGACTGACTGTGAGTAGTTTCACGACTGCAACAACAGAGTATATCTTAGAAGTTTTAGCGTACCGTTTAAAGTACAGTTTAGCATATCTTAGATCCTTATATACCTTTACTTTTTATATTTTATACTTTTGCTATTTTTGGATGTAACTGGGACCTTGTGTACATAATTTTGTTCTACCTCATACCACATGTGATGTGAATGACAATAAAGAAACTTGAACATAACTGACTGTTCTTGCCTTCATGGCTCAAAAAACATTGTCCACAAGGTAGATGGTGGTCTAAACATTTTTAAAAGCTTTTAATGTTGATCACACATATAAATCAAATGTATCAATCAAAGGCAAATAGATTAATAACTTGTTTGTAATTCACAATTTCAAATAGTCAGTAAATTTTAAAGAAGAAAGATATGAATAGCCAGAAAAGAATGAAAATCTGGTTATAATCCTGATTAACCCACAACAAAAACTAACATCAACAACATCTAAGCAAATGTTGCTTTCTATTTTGGCAGAACTAAACTGTGTCGCCTAACCTTTAGGCTGGCAAATCTGTCAATAACTTTTTCAGAACTGACCGTGTTAAGCAACTCCTTCTCAATAGACATTACAGCCAGATCATTCAGCCTGTTTTGCCCCATGGTCCTCCTGAGCCAGGTATGGAGACGACGCAAGGCACTAAAGGACCTCTCACAACTACAGCTGCTAACTGGTATTGTCAAAGCAGCTTGAACAGTAGTTTTAAGTGAAGGGAACATGTCAGCATCAAGTAAGTTGATAACGGTCAATATGTCTTCAACACCACCAGCCTCTGTTTTGCGTCTCATGTAATTTTTGGCTACCATCACCTCTTCTGACTTGAGGTCAATGTGATAGTGAAGTGCCAGTGCTGACAATGCTGGCTCAGACAAGAATTGGTCTGATGTTGGTCTGCATGCATTAATTCCATTTAGTAATTCCTTACCAACATCACAAAAACGCTTCTCAAGTTCTGCCAACATTCGATCCAAGCAAGGAAACAGTAGCTTTTGTTTGAGGTCTTCCAACTTTGATGTACTACTAACCTCACTGCCTGCCCCACAAGCAGACTCCACAACATATTCCTCCATTTGTTTTGCCTTACGCCTCTGAAAAGGAGGATTGTGGGTTGATATTTGGTTAGCCTCACATAAGGCCATAGCTTTGGCATGAACATCTACAGCAGTGGCATCATTGCGTTTCTCCTTGAGAGAATCAATTACTGCATTTTTGTATTCCACTGCTTGGGCGAGATCAGTGGTCTTATTCTGCAGGTATCTGTGTAAACATGCTGTTACAGACAGGAGAGTGTGGAAAACAAACAGCAAGTACACTGTTGAGAATTTACAGAGTTTTGCCTTCAGTCCTGCTGCTAAAGGTGTGTTGATGGCAGATAGGCATTCAGCGATGGCAGGGAAGTTGTCAAGTACTGCATTTACTGAACGAAGTTGGCAGGCCCAACGTGTGTTTGACAACTGGACAAGTTCACTTTGCTGCAATCCTAGCTTTCTTTGCACGTCTACAAACTTGTGATGGTTCACAAGAGAGACACTGAAAAAAGAGTAGACACTTTCCAGAATCTCAAAAAGCTCTCTGGCCTCAGAAATTGCTCTGCATGTGTGGCACAAGATGATGTTTAATTCATGTGCATAACAATGCACATAAATTGCTTCAGGGTGCTTCTTTCGAAAATGGGCTTGGACACCCCCTACTGGCCCACTCATAACTGCTGCCCCATCATATGTTTGAGCCACACATTTCAAATCATCAATACCTTTCACCACCAACTGGTCTTCAATTGCAGTGGATATTGATGCAGCATCAAAACTGTTCAACTCTGTAAGGGATAGGAACCTTTCCTTCACAAAACCCCCTGAAACATATCTCACACAGATCGACAACTGTTCAGTTTTTCCATCCCTTGCTTCATCAGCCATAATGGCATACATCTTTGACTCCCTCATCTCACTTACAATAGCTGCTGTCATCTCCTCGGAACAACATTGTATCATTTCATTCTGACAAGCAGATGAAAGATAGGTGGTGTTTGATGGAGGAGTGTACATTTTCAAAAAAGGGTCAAACATTTTCAGAAGATCCATGCATGCCAAAAATGCTCCTTTATTGTGGCTGTCAGCTGACTCATCATGACCTCTAAATGGAATACCCTGTTTCCCCAGCATACAAGTCAATGCCACAATGCGCTTCAGGTACTCCCTCCTCTCACTGATGTCAGAGGAAGTTGCACTCTCTATTTGCTGCAGAACACTGCCCTTAGACAAACTAGCTCTATAGCTTTGCCAGCAAACACTGTCTTTATGTGATTGTGTGGTTTCATGCTTATAGAATAAGCTCAGTGCCTTTCTCCAATTTTTCACCCCACCAGTCACAAAAACGTCCCGTTTTAAATTTTTGCCAAACAGCCTACAACTATAGCAAAATGCAGCATTCCTTGCAGGAGAGTATTCCAGCCAGATAAAACTCTGGAACCAGTTATACTGAAAGGCTCTCTTCTGTGTGCCAAACATACTTTGTGGGTACTGAGGCAGCTTTAGTTGTTTAGGACCAGTGTCCCTGTCACCTAAATCAGAGGCTACATTTGTAGACACTGATACTTCAGAGTGCTGGCCAGCCTGCTCTTCAAGCTCTTCTGCTTCTTCATGTACCTCTCCAGTCTGCTCCCTCTCTCCTTCAAGATACTCTCCCTGTTGTTCTCTCTTTCCTTGAATAGCACAATTCAGAATAAAAAAAATTAATAGTGGCTTAAATTAGTTCTAGATAAAACAGGTGTAAATATAATATGAATACAATGCTGTTTTTTTTCATATTAACAATGAAGTGTTTTGTCCCTATAAAAATCTAGGCTTATTTTCTCACGTGCTTCTTCCATGTCTTGCTCCCTCTCTTTGTCCTCGCTCCTTCTCTTTTTTCCTCTTGTGGACATTGCACTCAATCCATCCATCCATCCATTATCTTTACCTGCTTCTTCCACTCCCTCTCTCTGTGTGCTCCTTTTTCCCTCTTTGTGCATACAAACATTTTGTACAGAACTTATTCAAAGTAATCTTC